TATATATATATATGTATGTATGGGAAGAGTGAGCCTGCTTCTCCTTGGTGTAAATCCAATAGTACTCAATTTTCAGCACAATTCATTACTGGAAGAGACCTAATCTTGCCCATCACTACATGTGTTCATGAGCAGATGGGGTTGGCTAATGTTCAACTTCTCCCATCTATTACCACCTACAGTTTTCTTTTATGACTGATTGGATTTTAGGCTACATGTGTGCAGCAATATGGGTTTTCAAAGCTGCCAGGCAATGCAATTAGAGAGCACCATACTACTTCCCAAAGTAGGTGACCATGAATGAATGCTGAAGATGTGCATATGCCTCAACCACACTCGCTGGAAGATCCTACACAATTCAACCACCTGGAGCAACAGGGTTTCAGCACCTCTGCAGGCTAGACCTTGTCCCCAGAGACAGAAAAACTCAGCTAGGGAGAATTAATGGGAACTTTCAAATATTAAGAACCAAATGAGTAAAAACATGCAACAGAACAACCGTACTCACCACATTTTGCAAGGTGTCTCAAAGCTTCCAACTGCCCACTCTCAGCTGCCACAAATAATGAAGTGATCCCATAGGCATTTGCAGACTCAATCTTGGCACCTCCTTTCAGAAGGATATCAATAATCTCCAGGTCATTTCGGGAGACAGCCTCATGAAGAGCAGTCCATCCTCGATTGCAACGATGGTTGGTATCAGCATTGTACTGTACTAGCAGCCTTGCGGCCTCCGCATTTTTGCGCTCACAAGCTGTTTTGGAAAAAGGGATGTGATTAGGACAGGCTTTTGAAAAGATTCTGGGTGTTGTGGTATCCATTTCATGTAGCATAAGGCAATATAATAGAACTAGGCCACAGTAAGACCAGAGATCCATCTAGGTCAAAATGAGGTCTAAGGTTGTTGCCAAATGTCACTGTCTGGGGCTTGTAAAGGATGTGGCAGTGAAGCCAATCATCAGCTGGGACCTGGAAGAGGTGTCCTGTGCAGGACTTGGCACAAGTCCTGCACATTTGTACAGGTTGGACACCACAGTGACACAAGGAGGTGACAAGGTGCAGGAGGTAATTTATGAGGAATGAACATGTTACAGAAGTCCCATGACCTGAACACTTCCTTTCCAAATTCTGTGCAGACTGACTCTGTATCTTGCTGTTCTGGACTGAAGATAAAGATGGACAAGAAAATAAAAAAATCTCCAACCACCACAACCCAGAATAGGATCCTTAGAAAACAATGTCATGAGTCAGCAGCTCTTTCTCAATCTGCAACAGTTTATGGTTCAGGACCACCCTGAGTGAAAGATATTTTCTTGATAATTAATAGTATTTCGTAGATTTTTATTCTACCAATTTATCCCATTGCTTTTTGAATCTCAAAAGTTTTTAAATTAAAACACTTTAAACTTAGCAGCTTTAATGCCAAGCATCCAAAGTTAGAGGCAAGATTACTGTTTTAACCAGTAGTATGTGCTTTTTAATGTTTTAGAGTGCTAAAAATAGTCAGAGCAGGAGCACTTAGTCAAAGGGGGATGGAGATGAAGGTGTGAGAGATCATCTCTTTCTCTGAATCGTTGTGATATCATGGATGTAATGCTGTTCTGCTAAAAGAAGTGTTCTCTCTGACCAGCAGTGAAGTAATATGTTCATGTTACACACTTCATTACCTCACTGGATTGTTTATAACTTTATGCATCTCCCATGGCACAGAGCCTACACTGGCCCACACAGTATATGAATCATTGGCATGTCTACAATTACTGTAGTCGACATCCAACAGCTACTTAGGTCCTACTGCCCAGAAACGCATACATGTTCCTGCACTATCCAGTTTTTCCATAAGACTGGGACATTGTGCTTAAGGCTCCTCTAAGCATTACACCTCCACCCTCCGCACCACATGGCAACCTGCACGGCAGCCACTCATCCTGTCTCTGAGGTAGGTGAGAAGAGCAGCCATGGCATAACAGGTCAGATGGAAGAGAAAGAGGACTGCTGGAGGGAGGTAGAAAAATGGGAGATAATCACTGACTTACAGCCCTGCATCACAAAGCTGATCCTTCAGCTTTGCCTTGGTGGACCTCAGCATCCCTGGAAAAGCAGTCACTCACCTTTGTAGAGCGGCGTTTCTCTGGCCTTGTTGGAGATGTCAGGCTCGGCCCCAGCCTGCAGCAAGGTGAGCAGGCAGTCTAGGTTGCCCCGGCTGGTGGCCAGGTAGAGAGCCGTCTCCTCATTGAGGGTGCGCTGGTCAATTGTGCCAGGGTACGCTGCGAAGAAATGGCAAGCCCAAAGTCATTGTGGCATGTAGTGCACAAGTATCTGCAGCAGCATCGCCTTTCAAACTCATCTTGGAGCTTAGGTGAGATTTTGTCATTCATTTATTCTCTTTTCCATGAGCAAATTAAGTTAAGGATACACTCTAAAGTTACTATAACTCAGATTACATATCTAAATTAGTCACTATCATGTTCAGCTATGCCACTAGTGATGCAGAAAACTCCTGAGTATCTGCTCTGCAGTAGCAGTTTGAAAACAAACCATGGTATTTAACCACCTTCAAGCACCAACAAAGAACCCCTGGGCTGGATCTCCAGCTACAGGGAAGTGGGGTAATTGCTGTCAGCTGTGGCAGCTAGGCAGCTCACAACAGCCGAGAGCTCATCTACAAGGCTTTATTGTGAGAAATCCAGGGCTTGGCAAGATCTATCCAGATACCACTTTCTCACGAAGATCCTAACTTTTAGAGACTTCAGTCTGGAAACCTATTCTCAAAGATAAGGTTAAATTCCTATACACTCAGAGAGGCTGGACAAAAGCTTCATATGCAGTACCAGATCAGGATTGTACTGCTACTAATTCTGCTTTTTAGTTTGTTTATATACTTCACCCTTTTGTAACTGATTAGTTATAACTTCACTGACCTTTTTGCAACAGGCTCAGGCAACCCACTTGGCCGTAGTATGCAGCTTCATGGAGGGGTATCCAGCCATCCTTATTAGGTTCAGAAAGGTCTTTTCCTGATTTCATCATGTTGAATACTGCTTTTTCATCTCCATCCTTGATTGCTGCCACTACAGGGTCAAGTTCTCTTTAAAACAAGATTAAAACTTGATTACTGCTTCCTTAATTACTGAGAAGTTTTTTGCAGTAACACCTCTGGAACCAAAACTGGGATCTGGTGCCAAACTGTGAAGTAGTTCATGTTCTGGTAATCTGAACCCAACAAACTTCTGTCAGGCTCCAGAGGGACAAGTAGCTTCTAGGCATAAGGAGTAAAAGGAATGAAAAAATATTAGGGAGGGAATATTTGAAAGCCTCTTTGGAGTAGAAAGTCATTGAAATGTGTAGAATCACTGAAAAGTGTTCAAAGTAGTATTTCAGTGTTTACCAGAGGAAAAAACCAAACAAACAACAAACCGTCATCTTTTTTTGGTGCTACCTAATTCTGAAAGTTTCAAGAAGCAGCTCGCTATTCACAGTGTGCTCCACACCACCCAGAAGTGAGACACAATGAGCAGCCTACAAGCAAGCTTTGCTCTGACAAGCCTCGCCTTTGCCAAGCACACATTCTGCACGGTTTGGGCAGCAACCCATGTCTCCAAGCTCTCTAAGAGCAATCGCAGAGCACCGCTGACCTGGGCACACCAATCCTTCTGCAACGAGAGCTGCTGTGGGACTTCCCGCACAGTGAGAGTCACACAGCACTGCCTGATGGTCACCGTCCTGCCTGATGGTCACCGTCCCAGCCATCAGCAGTGCCTGCAGAGGCACCTGCCTCCCTGCCAGAGATGGGGAGCTGGTACCCTGCAGCCAATGCAGGCAGGATCCTTGCCTTTGGCAGAGAGCAGCTCTGCATGGTGGTGTGTTGTGCCTTCCAGCGCTAGTGTCTGCTCGTGCTCCTGCCGAGCTATGCTGGGAGAAGGCAGCTGCTGGTTTCTTATTCTGAGGCACGAAAGGGCTAAGCTCCAGGGCAGCAAACACTGGAAAGGAAGAGGCATTTTTCCAGTTCTAATGGGGACTTGCAAAAAATGAACATGGGCTATATTTTCAGACACAGAGAACAAGAGGATGTTGAAAACATAAGAGAGTTTGGGGTCTGAACTAACTCTGAGGGTAAACTCTTGCAGCCTTGAAGGTGGAAAGATTGAAGGGGGAAGTGCATGTCTCAGAGAGACTGTTAGCATCACCAGAGTAAGAACACAGTGTGTGATGAAAGTCATGCAGGGCAGTAATGATGGGAAAACCCAGAAACTCTGGTTATGGCAGGAAGTCTAAAGTGCCACGGCAGAGTGAGATCATAGGCATGGGCAGTTCAGGACAGGAGTCCTTAAAAAGCACAACCTCTGCATTTAGTGCAAGTTGCAGAAGTAGCGCTGGAATTCATTGCCTTGCAGAGGCTGGACAGACCAAGAGCCTGAAACTCATGGAGGCATCATTAATTTCAGCTTGCCCAGAGGTACCCAGTCTTTGCCATAAACACTGATACTAGCTCCAAAAGAAAAGTCACCAAGCTGCTTCTCTGAGGATAAGCTCAGGGCTTGGAGCAGAACAGGTGAATACAACACATGTGCCAAGGAATGAGAGAAGATACCATTTCCCAAGTGAAAAAGGACTGAGTGCCACTTGCTCCTTCTCTATAGCTGGAAGCAGTGATCTCAGGACAGTAGAGTCACCAAAATAGCAACACTGGAATGGGGGGAGATATGGAACAGAAATTCAGGCATTTTGCCTGAGGAGATAACAGCTAGGGCAGGCAGCTGCCTTCCTGGCTACAGCCCACCCAGGAGGGATCGACTGACCTTCTGATAACTGCTGGGCTGAGAAGCCAGGGACATTGCTGTATCTCCCTACTATTTGAAGTACCTTGGGGACTAGACCTAAAACTGCTAGGTTTTTATATAGGTGTTTGAAATTGAGCATTTTGTTGAAAGCAGTTAAGAGTGACTTATTGGTGCATTTGGCTGGGAGAAGAGGCAGAGGTGGGGGATCTTCATCTTTTAAAAGTCTCTGGCACAGGGCTGCTGGAACCATCTGTTGTTTTGTGCAAAGGCTCATGTTACACGTGTGGGGCTACTCACTGTGACCTCGGGATTTGGGCACACGATGGAGTTACCAACGTCCAGTGAGTTACTGCAGGCCAGGTGGGCCACGGCAGGAGTCTGTGCGCGAGGCTGGCACACAGCAGATGCAGAGTGAATCATATTAGCTGAGACTTCAGTGAGAGCAGAGGGTACTTAGGATCTGTGGTAGGGTTAAAAATGTGTGAAGAATTGGTTACTATTCTGCTTAAGCCCTCAGATGTTGAGTGAAGCAAATGTCTCCCAGGGCTGTTGACCTTAAATGATTCCTGAGTAAAACGAGGGGGTTTGCTGGACCAGGCTCTGGATGCTTTAGCCAAGCAAATTCCAGATCAGTACAGAAAGTTTAATGAATCTCTATGTGAAATCCTTGTTTTCCGCCTGGCTCAGAGTTGGCTGTTATAAAAACTGCATTCTGCTGCTTAGATTTCGTCAGATATAGAAAAAACAAGTTTTACAACTACGGAGGAAGCCTGAGGATCTGATGAAATCTTAACCTTAGAGGTGACTCAGAAGAATTATTGTGTTTCAAAGGCCAATAGCCAGGGTAATAAATACTCATTGCAGATGAGGTGTATGGTGCGGTCAATTCAGAATGCTGCACAAGAGTTTCAGAAGAGTACAGAAAGGTTCAGGAAGCTCCTTCTTTTCCTGGCAGCCTGGTGAGATGCAGGCAGCATGAAAGAACACCTCCCCAAGTGAAGCCAGCTATCGTTCCTGCCTGGCTTTGAAACCAGGGCTATAAAACAGTCATGCTATCATGTCCTCCTGTGGTGTCTCAGCCACATTTTTGCTCTCACCTGGGAGCAGAGGAGGGCTAGCTTACTGGCCTCACCCCAGCCTTCTTGTGAACTGAACTCTGTTGAGCTATTTGGTGAAGAAGAAAAGCCTGCAGTCCAGGCATTCAACCAGAGCAGCAGAGGCATGCAAGGTGTGCAGAGCACTTAATGAGAGGATACAATCTCACTGTTGTCAAGGGGAGCATGCAGGTGACAGGAGTGAGAAAAGCCTTCATGTTTCAGCAAAAAAAAGGTTTTCACAATGTCAGGGAGGGCAATGTCAATGGAGAGCCAGGGATAGAGCCTGGAACAGCCAGAGTGTGGGGTGACATGAGGGAGATTGTAGAGCTGGGTCAGGTGTGAAAGGAAGAAGAGTGGTGGAGGGGTAGTCACAGCAACCATGCATCCAGGGAGGGACTGGTAAGAAGGATAAAATAAATTGGTTGTGAACTGGGTAGATAAAAAGGTAGGGGAGAGTCTTCTGCAGGACACAGAGAAGTATTGCCTGCAATACTTTCTTCATCTGACAGCTAAAGGCAGGTGCATGCATCTACTCTGCCCTGCAGAGAGTTGTAGTAAACCTCTCATGGTCCAGATGTTTCCACTACATACAGGCACTGAGGCAGAGCTCAGGTCATATCCCTACCTGTCTGGTTTCCTCATCCATGACTGTGGTCACCTAATCTTATTTACTGTCTCTGCCAACAGCAAAATGTAGCCAGGAGGACCAAAGTCAGTCAAGCTGGTTTCCTCCTGGGGCAGGTGAGACATAGTATGACTCCCTAGCAGCCCTCCTCAGTGTGGCAGGACAGTGCAGGTATTGCTGGGAACATCTTAGGGGCATTTCTAAAATAGTTACTCTGAAGGAGTGGATTTTCTTACCCTGTTTACATACTGTGACAAAATGTTATTTTTTCACACTCTTCCCCAGCATTGAACCATGAACTTAATATCAATGTCGTTACTATCAGCACCTGCCTGCCACATCTGCTGTGTGGATATGGGTGGCAATCTATATAAACAAATCACAGCACAGGCATCCCTTCCCTGCTGTCCTTGTCACCTCAGAACTACCAAATGACCCAGAGCCCTCAGGGCACATGCACCGGAGGGATGGAGATGGATGAAGAAGGAGAAGAGAACAAAGGGTTTTGAGTTGGGTCTCCCACAAGGGCCTGGGCATGGTCTGGGGCAGCTGTGAGGTTGGAAGAAAGAGCAGGAAGGCAACAAGGGTGCAGTGCAGGTACCAGCAAGACCTCCTCCAGATAAACACCACCATATCCCCCCACCAGACACCATCGCCACCCAGCTGGCTCAGGGAGAGAGTGGGTAGCAAGGCTTGTTTTGACCGCGGGAGAGGGAAAGGGAGGCACTTACATGGGCTGGGATGTGCTGAACAGGCTGCCGTCGTACCTTCGTCTGACCCCCCAGGCTGCCCCCGAGCTGGACGGCTGAGCACGGCCCCTCGGCTGGGCCGCCAATCTGGAGTGGCGATGACATGAATGAAATAAAGAGAAATACTCCGAATAGGAGAAACAGGTCATGTTGATGCAGAAACAGAGACACACATCCACAGAGACGGATTGAGAAAGCCGGCTGGTCAGGGCTTTGAATAAAAGCAGATGGCCACAGCTTGCTCTGCTCTGGATTCAGCTGCTCGCTCAGCTCGAGATTATTTTTGGCCCTCTGAGGAAGCATCAGGGGATTCAAATGACCATATAAGACAACAGTGAGTTTAACCCTACCACCACCACACAGGAAGTGGGCAGGAGGTGAGGTGAGGTGACATTTGCCACCTCTGAAGTGTCACATAATCAGATCAGAGGCGGAGGAGGACCCAGGGCCCCTGGGGGCCGGCTTCGTTTCCAGCACGGCTCTACCAGGTGGCAGAAGAGTTCAGCAATGCTACAGATCTGGACCTACAAGCTGCAAAGTGTTTCCCTTCAGTGGGATGTCAAAAGGTGCTGGGCTAAGGCAGAGGCGGGACAGGTTAAGGCACAGAACTGCAGATGCTGCCTTTTGCCAAAATAGCAGGTGTCCAAGGACCCCCAAGGAGGACAAGGACCAAATGGCCAGAGAAACCCTGATTCTGCCCCACATTGGGTCGCCATGGCAGAGATGACAGCCCAAGTGCACAGTAATGACACCGAGAAGCCATGACCTTTGGTGGGAGCAGGACAGCCTGTTGCACAGCATCCCAATTCCACAGCTATGAAACACACATACTGCTTGTCAAATTGTCCCCAGTTTCCCAGCCTTGGAAACCACAAAATCACAGGTGGTAATGAGTGGGGCGTAACAGGATTGTGGAGATTATGAGAAAGGAGGAGGAATAAAACTTCAGTTACTTCCAGTCTATTTTAAAAAAATTAGTTTAAGAGAATAATTTTCCTTGGCTTTGGGGTGGATTTGTAACTTCTTCTCTCCCCCTTGAGAAGTCTACTTTTTAAAAACTGAAAGGAGAACAATGTCTAGGATTGAAACAGTCAGCAAGTCTCTGTAACCCACAGCTCAGCATCGCAGGGGAGCAGGGTGCCTCCATCCTTTGGTGTCTGGAGCTGCTGTTTGCTAAGAGTGATGTGCTTGAGGTCAGGCTTTGATCTGAAGTAACTACATCCTTTAAAGTATCTAAAAGATAGCTGGCTCACACTGGTTTATACACCTATTTTTGGCCTCTCTCCTATGTTTTCCCATTACAAGTGCTGTGCTACCTCTCTGGTGAAACCTAAACTCAGCTTAGAGATCCCTAGAGGGGAAGGAAACCCTGGCTTCAGGAGGCTTTCTGTCACTCAGAAAAGCTTGTAGCAGTGCCCCTTTTCTTACTTTTTATTGTTGCTTAAACCAGACAACATCAAGCAAAGTCTCATTTTGCTGTGAGGCTGTAAATTGTTGACCTCATCAGACTTAGAGCAGACTCTGGCTTTCAAGCTAATGACAGACTCGCAGAGCAGCCGCTTGGTGAAGCTAATTAGAAAGCACGTGTTTTGGCAGGGGAAGCTGTTTTTCTCTTCCCAGGCAGGTTGTTTGTTGGGCTGGCACAGCTCAGGCTGGCTCTCACTCACCTTTGCCAAGGGTAGATGCGGTAGGGTGGGTTGTGGCTGCTGGCACGGCTGGGGGCAGCCGCCTCACTGGGACCTGCCACCATCGACTTTTGGTGGCTCTGGGCAGCTGCCTGGCCCGCGGGGTCCTCCTCCAAGCTCTGCTGGATGGCCATCTTTATAAGCTCGTCTTCACTCAAGCTGCTGTACAGACTGTATTCCTCACAGCCTATCGTTTGTCTTTGAGTATTTGCTGCTGTTGTAGCCATTTTTAAATTTTGTTGTTGTTGTTGCTTTCCTGTAAAAGGAAAATGTGATCATCAAAATCTGGAAAATGAAAGAAAAGAACTTGGCTATCTTGTGCTGTTGTTCAGCTCTGCCTTTTGATTAGACCCACTAGAAAGCTCTTCAGAAATACTTCACTAGGGAGAGGACATTATCAGCTAAAATCTGCATGTGAACTGAAAGAACTACTTACTATCACACAAAAGTAACTGTTTAGCTGGTGTTCAAAAAAGGGAAGGGAGCTGCTGAAAGTAAGGAAGATTTTGATATACTTCTGGTTACCATAGCTCAGGAGAAAATAGGTAAAGGAAATCCCCTTCAGATTAAAGAGATACAGCTTTGAAATTAATTTCTTTAGAACACTGGTGGATATCTCTTTTGTTGTTTTTGTTTGTTTGTTTGTTTTGCTTTGTTTTATTTCTTACTCTAAGTGCAGAAAAGTAAGGGAAGAGGGTTTTCTGTTTGCTGGTTTTCTGCAAGGGCAACTTTTCCCCTCCAAAGTGTCTAGAGACCATATGGAGTAATTTTTTCAGCCTGGGGATCTCTTGAAAAAAAGTGCAAAGCTATTCTTTGAGATGACTTTCTTTGTTTCACTCAGCTAGGAGAGCTCAGTTCCACTTCTGATTTTTTTACTTTTCACAGAACAAAGTTCAAGGTCATGAGCTTTAAGACTTGTGGTCAGGCTGTCTTCTAAAAACTGGTGGCTGAGAGCTGGAAATGAGAGAAGGGGAAAACATCAGGGCACACTCAGCAATCACAGAATGACTGAACCATCACCGCAGAGCCGACTCAAAAAAGGCAAAGACAATCCAAAAGTACTGTGGTACTTCCAGCAGTGATAAAAAAGTACTAATGCCATGAATAGTACACTGCTCTAGCAGGATCTCATTCAGAGCACTCTGACCACTGGTGTTCAGCAGCCAAGGGCTTATTTCATGGGAGGAGATGGAAAAGCTTGCCTCTTTAAAGAAAATGAGAGCCAAGGGGGAATAGGTTTGCTTTTATAAGCACTGAGAAGTATGTAAAATAAAGAAGAACACTGGGATGAGGAGCAGCCAGTATATATTTCCCAGGAGGACATGGACAGGGCAAGGGAGGACAGGACAGGGAGCCAGCAGAAGGGGACTGTGGAGGCATGTGCCCCAGGTGCAGAGAGGTGAGGGGATGTCAGTCCCTGTCCCAGAGACACCACAGCATGGCTGGTCTCCAGCTCCACACAGCCCTGCCCTGCCTAGCCGTGAGTCCTGCTGAGCCAGGCCACCCGTCAGAGCCACGTGCATGAGGATGGCAGAGCCACCCAGTCTCCAGCTGCTCAGGATCTGCCTTCTGCCACACCAGCACGGCTGACAGAGTGAAGCCTTCAGGTCTGCTTCGCTGTGCAGCTGCTCTCTCCAGCAGATTAGGCTCTGCCCCTGCTCACCCAGTGCCTGGGACAGACTGGATTTCTGGGGACTGGCCACCCACGTGTTTATGACAGTGGGATCCAGCATGCTGTGAACTTCACACCAGGAAATGGCCCTGCCTTAGTGGTCCTTGCTGTTGTGCGCACAGCCAAGAGACAGTCTTGACCTGGAAGAAATGGTAGCTCCCTAAATGGCAACAGAGCCATTTCTATGCATGTTGAGACAATATGTTTGCTTCTTTAATCATAATTACAAAAAATAAAAGATTCATGCAGTTGGAAGAAATTGTAAGAGCTTGGATTAAGCCCCAAATAACTTAAAATCTTGGATTTGAGATTTTCACTTCAGAAATGGTGCTATCTTCCACATCAATACCCACCTCAGGCTCCAAGCACATCCCAGAAGAAGTGGGAAGAGTTCAGCAAAAAGGGAAGCCCAGCAGATTTCAGCTTGACATTATGACTTTCAAGAGCAAAGGATGCATTTTACAGCCATGAAAACTGCCAAAATAAAACCTTCTGTTGTTGTAAATAATGCAACCCAATTTTTATGTGTTTTTTTTTTTTAATTTTTCAGCCAGATATCTCAGTTACCTTCTCCAGTGAGAGCTGGTGTGCCTCAGCTCTGCTATGACCCTTGCTGTCCCGAGGAACCAAGCCCAGGCATCAAAACCCTGATGGCTCCCACACGGAGCCACTGCCCACCCCATGCCCCAGCTGCTCCTGTACCTCTCCTTGGCTAGGCTCCAGCCAGTGGCTGGCCAAGAACCATGATACAGCATTTTTTCCCAACAGCTTCTGCTGCTGCTTGGATTGTTCAACTCCTGGCGTGCTGGGCAGCACTTTCATCGTCTGTCAGCCTAGGTACTCACTTAGTAACTGGTGCGCTGCAGATGTGTCAAATCCACGGGCTGGAGTCAGAGGGCTTGTCTGCAGCACCGAGCACCGCAATGCCTAAATGTAGGGGCCTGGCCCCGATGGTGACTCAGAGGCTTAAACTAGCAGCCAGTGGAGAGGGCAGGACCTGATCGTAAGCTCCTGATAGAGGTGAGGCACAATGACTCTTTGGAGGATGCAAGAGTGGAGATGAAACTGCTCCTCTCTGAGGGGAAACTGCACCACTGGAGCCTGGGACACAGATCCTTCCTCTTTATCCTCCCCAGTTCCACCACTGGCATCCTGACGGCACAAGAGGCAGAGCAGACAGTGGATCCAGCCTAATCGTGCTTCTGATCTGGGTGTCAGAGTCCCTTCGTGGACAATGGGATAGTGTGCTCCCTCAGCAGTTTTGCCGACATCAGCAAACTGGGTGGAGTGGTCGACACGCTGGAGGGAAGGGAGGCCATCCAGAGGGACCTGGGCAGGCTTGAGAGGTGGGATCGTGCCAACCTCATGAAGTTCAACAAGGCCAAGTGTAAGGTCCTGCACTTGAGTCGAGGCAATCCCAAGAACAAATATAGGTTGGGTGGAGAACAGATTGGGAGCAGCCCTGAGGAGAAGGACTTGGGCGTGTCAGTTGATGAGAGGCTCAACATGAGCTGGCAGTGTGAACCTGGAGCCCAAAAAGCGAACCTTGTCCTGGGCTGCATCAAAAAGAGTCAGCAGGTCAAGGGAGGTGATTTTCCCCCTCTCCTCTGCTCTGGTGAGGCCCCACCTGGAATGCTGCATCGAGTTCTGAGCCCACAGTACAAAAAGGACATAGATCTGCTGGAGCAGGTCCAGAGGGCTGGAGAACCTCTGCTATGAAGATAGACTGAGGGAGCTGGGAAAGCTGGGAAAGGGCTTCTTACAAGGGCCTGTAGTGATAGGACAAGAGGCAATGGCCTGAAACTGCAAAAGGGTAGATTTATATTAGATATTAGGAAGAAATTCTTCACCATGAGAGTGGTGAAGCACTGGAACAGGTTGCCCAAGGAGGCTGTGGATGCCCCATCCCTGGGAGTGTTCCAGGCCAGGTTGGATGGGGCTTTGAGCAACCTGGTCTGTGGGAGGTGTTCCTGCCCACAGCAGGGGGTTGGAACTAGATGATCTTCAAGGTCCATTCCAACCTTAACCATTCTATGATTCTATGATTCAGGGCTTTGAGGAAAGTCCAGGAGACTACTGCCAATGCAACTCCACACTCTGGCACAGAGGAGCTAACAGATATAGGTGCCTCACTAAACCCCCAATGGATCTAGGTATAAAGATCATTTTTCCCCTCCATCCTTCTTTTGTTTCACACCTCATTAGAGCATGGGGAGGGAAAAGGAAGATTTTGAGTTTGAGGATCGCTTTCTATTTCACCCTCTTTTTCTTTGCATGGGTTAACTGGGTCTCAGCCACTAGCAGAGAAAAAGGAGAACCCCCCTTGCCTGTTGGTGATCTTCACTAATCTAAATATTTTGACTGGAGTCCCAGGGAGTGCAGAGACAGCAGTGTTGGCTGCAGCTCCCACCACTGACTCATCATGCATGAAGAAACTTTGCAGGGCCCAAAACAGAGAAAGCTTTCAGCTCTGCTCACCTAACTGACACAACCCTGATGAAGGTGTAAGGGTCATACTCTGGGGCTGCAGCAGCTTTTGAGCCCATCCTAACAAGCAGGGACACCATTGGCTGTCCTGAAGCCTTTATAGAGACTATTCTAGTTGGGCCTGAAGCCGTTCTTGCATCCCGCTGCCTGCTTCCCCTTGCTCAGACCAGCCTGTGTGGTCCGACAGTTTGGCAGGAGGCACAACGCACGCCTTCTCCCTACAGCTCCCAGTGCGACGGCACCGAGTGAAACAGAGCAGAGCCACCACCCTCTCCTCCCACCTGGAGATGCTTTTATTTGAAGCTGCTGAGCCACAGGGCTCAGGTTATTTCTGTAGCAAGCCACAGTGAGCCAGCTGAGCTGCAGCAACAGGCTGAGTGCCTGGCCTCGGCTGGAGGCTGACGCAACACAGCCTGCGTCAGCTGAACCTTTTTCACTGGGGCTGAGCACGGTGGCAACACCTGGCACAGCTGCAACCAACCCGACCCACCCTGGCTCAGCTGACGCAGCAGGGCTGTTACCGCCTGGTGAAGTACTAACCACAGCCTTACCAAACCCTACTACAGTAATGGGCTGTAAGCTAAATATTTTCCACCTTCTGTAACAAAGGTGTGAAAAAAAAAAAAGAAAATCAATCGTTGTTTCTAGGAATGATTGAACCCAGCTTGGGTAAGTAAGATCTGGCCAAAGTGCAGTTTGAATCTATTTACTCACTCTAAGCCTGCTTGCTGTAGGTTTAAAGTGTTGGAATAAGATTTATATGTTAAATGCTGGGTTTACTGTTCACCATAACTTCAGATTTTTGGGGAAGGGTTTGATATTTGTCTGTCCTCTGTATTCTTCTGGCAGCCCAAGAGCCTGTCCTTACACGCAGATAACACATAGCAGTGCATCTACTGTAAGAGCAGAACGTGTGGGCTTAGTGCCCTTGCTATTCCTTAGAAATCACTTTACCTTCAGATCTGAAAGCCTTTACTAGTGATCTTTCTTGGCAGAAACATGTCTTAGGATACTGCTGCCTGCCTGTCATTTAATAGCTCGGTCTGACAGAATCTTCTGGATCTAAGTTTATCGTCACTTCCACATAGGGCCTGATCCTGATTCTTAGTTTTGCTATGTCAGTTTTAGCAAGAGTTTGTTTAGTTAGCTGTAGAAATCAGGCCTGTGGCATTCAGAGGTAATTTAGCTGCATCCAGTGACTGGAAGATAAGATTAGAAATTAGAAATTAGAAATGCTTGTGCCAGGGCCAGGCTGTGAGGCTTTGCCTTGCATTAATGAGCAGCTGTACCTGGCAGATCCCTGAAACCAAAGGTACTACTCACCGGGGTGACTCCTAGTAATCACTCAAATTATGGCAAGAGCCACAGACAAACACAATTAGGTTGCCATTGTATTTGGACTGCAAGCTCTGTCAACATGTAGTGTTTGGGAGAACCGGCCTCTGATCCCTGATGCAACGTAAATAAACAACAAGGATTACAACTGGCTTTGAACATGCAGAACCGCTCGATTCAGTACATTAGCATCTGAAACAACTGGTCCCCATTGATAGCACTTCCTTAAAGAAAAGCTTAGCAAGGCTGCCTGTCCTCCTTCAATAGATGCCAGGCAGCAGAATTAGCAGAATTATTTATTGCTGTCAGCAGAGGGTGGCAGGTGAGTGACAAGGTCATTAAGGGAGCGGAGAGGGGACTTTGCCTGCCTTTGCAGTGAGTTTACCCCAGTCAGCTTGTAACTCAATACAAGACCTCAGTATTTATGGCTCAGGGTGTGATAAACCACATTTCTAAAAAAACCCTAAGTCTTTGGAGGTTGCAAAAGAGAGAGGAGCAGCTTGCTCATTTTGCTTTTTGCAAGGAAGGACTAAGCCCCAGCTTCTGCAGGTAGGTGTTTGCCTTTCCTTGTGTTTGCTTTTACTTCTAAAAGCAGCCGGAGCATGCTCAGGGGAAGGTAAACACGAGGGGAAGTCTTCACAGCAAACCAGCTCTCCACCTCAGCTCTTACTGTGGCACCTTTCAGGACAGGTCATCTGCTGGCAATGGAAACTAGACCAATTTACAGCACTTACATACTCACATTTTTGCTGTATTCTAATTCAGTTCTCAGATAAATCTTTCCAGCTCCCCAAGGATATTATATTAGATAACTACTACCAGGAAGCAAATGGTTTCGTAAGAAACCCAGAAAGATTTCAGTGCCCATCAGATCTGCCAGAGCTGCGACAGCAGAAGAACGATACCTCATGCTGTCCTGCTGTGGCAACAGGCAAACATACTTCGTAATGACAGCTTATGCACACTGCTCAAGTTCTAGCCCAGTGCTGAAGGACCAAAGCCAGGCTCCCCAAAGGAATCCTCCACGCAAACAAACCCCCTTGTCCATTCCCAGCTGTCAAAACAGGTCACCTATCCGTCTGGCATATGTTATGATGCCATCAAATCCTGATTCTGTGAAAATTCTTTTCTGGAAATGCACAGACCCACAAGCTTTTATTTCTCAGAAAGCTTTCATTCACACAGCGATCAGTGCAATATTAGCTTCACGTTATACTAACTGGAAATTTATAAACAAAAGAAATAATTTGCTGATGTAATATTTTCCTTCACACTACATTATACCGTAGCATGTTGTAACTGCAACAATTATTTCTGAACAAGCTGTTCTAGGGACAAAGATAAAAGCATCACCTGCAAGTGTAAGAAAAATAAGGAAATGACTGAGCTACAGTTCTACTTAACACCAGCGAGTGTTTTATGTTTTTTTTGAGAAGAAAACAGAACAAAACAAAAGCAAACCACAAACACTTCCAAGACAGTGTTAGGTTACAAACTGCTATAGGAGTAAGTATTTGCATAGACATTACAAAATGACAGATTGAAAATGATAAACAAATTCAAAGCATGCATATTTGCATTACCTTTTTGGTTTGAAATAAAAGGATAATAATACTGTTGAAATGGGTTATCTCCTTGATTAAGTCTTAATTCAGAAAATCCTTGCTGGTATTCATCTCCCTGCTTTGCCTGGAAGTTTCGATCAACTGCAGGACAGCTTTGAAACACTCTCTCTTTGAAGCCTGGAGTTTATTTCTGGATCACCCCATGATCAGCGAATACAAGCCAAAATATAAGTTGTTCCGAATCTCAGATTTCCTGTTCAAAGATGAACGGCAGAAACTTTTACCCATCCTAAAGCTCTTCTTTGTTACATTATCTGAAAAACTTCACTTCATCAAGCATCCTGTAGCTAAACGACACAAAGTTGACCTTTCTATTACATCATTATTTATTGTCTCTGACAAGTAGACCATATATGGACATGTTTCTGGAACCTAAAGAAGAAGAAAAAAAAGTTGCTGTATAATTTTGAAGTAAAATATGTTGTCCTGGAGAGTTTTATTTACTTAGGGAGAAGGGAACTCTATTTACGTTTCTTATAGCTGCTGCTTGTTAAACAAAGCAGCCAAACATTACATGGGTATTTATTGATGTTTTATAGGGGTTCGTGTATTTTTAAGACTGCAAGTTTGAGGCTTCAGGATTCCAAAAGATGACAAAAGCAGCTGTGAACCTGTTCCAACTAGTATTTGTAAGACCTCATTAGTGGGAAAGAACTGCTCTCTGAATGACAGACCCTTTCACAGCCTCCTTGAGGCCATAAATGTTGAGTGGTAGCCGTCTTCCCCACATCTGGCAGAGGGCAAGCTGGCCAAGGAAGAGATTGCACTGATCCAGAGATGAGCTAGAAGAAATCAGTCAGGCACACACGGGAGAACTAACACTTGAATTAGGTGGAACATGGGGATAATACTCAATTTGGAAGGTTTCTATGTATTTGTCCAGCTAATACCATGAATGAAGGGAAATTATAATACAGCATCAAAATGATGCTTATGCTTTTTCTTTCAGCTCCTGCTTCGCCACTGCTGTGGACAAACATTGCACATAAAGAGAATAAAGGTAGATTACAACAGGTCTGGTTTCCTTTCTGAGTACCTTGTCGAGCCTCAGGCTAGATGTACTCACCCTGTCAGTGCCTAAACATCCCTGTCTAAGGCTTAGCAAGAGTAATCTTGAAGGGAACCAATTTAGCAAGACTATATCATCCACTAATATGTGATTCCTTCCAACTCACCTGCCTCATTTGTAGAGTCTTTCAGGACCAGCATCATTCCCTTTTTGCTCCTTGATTCAGCTTGCTCCAGCATGACATGTCCCCCTTCCCTGCTGCCTGCAAAACCATCTGCCCCTCATAACTAGTGCTAGGGCTGTTGTTTTATCATTTACCTAAGTACATTCAGCAGTTACTGTGGCAGGCAAAGGAGCCTTGGATGTCATCACCAAGACGGTGTAAAACTCTTACACCCTTGACAAGATAGCCAACTCTCCCTGATTTTTAAACAACATCCAGCACTTTTTTCTTCCACGATATTACTCTAAGATTGTAACTGGCCTCAGCTTAAAACCAAGAGTGACTATCTCCCATATTTAATCTTTCTGTTTGCCTTTTGGCAGTCTCTCATTGGATCCACACCATTGGCACTCTCACTGGCTGCTTGATGTCACACTTAACTCAAGGAAAAAACACCAATAATGTGATGCAGATTCATGCTTGGCAAAAGCACGGGTGCCTGTGTCTTCTGCGAAGGACTGTTTGATTAGGAAAAAAATACAGAGGCTCAAGGTCCCATCAGCTATGAACATTGCAGGTGGCTCCCCATGCCATTCACAGCAAGCACACTGCCATTCTCTTCCCTCCCACATTCCTGGGTTTCCTTGCAAAGCCCTTTGATGTATTTGGAGCTCCTGTGAATGCTGCTGTACCATTTTCCAATCAAAGCACAGGACTATGCTTCAGAAGATCTATATTCAGATACCACTAACTCTCCCTTTTGTCCTGAATAAATCATTTCACTCTCGTTCTATACATTAGTGAAGTAGAAATAGTCAAATGCGTTAGCTTTAGAGAAGAGTCCAAAATTTCTTGCAGATGGGAAGCCAACAAGACTACTTATACGGATAAATATTGCCAAATAAGACCATATTTAATTAGTATCTGTGAAATACTTTGGTATTCTCAGAGGAAGACCTCATAGAAGTTTGAAATATTAATTGCAGAAACATTGCTATACAGGAATGAAATCATACATTTGGGGGGTTATTTTTTTTCCAGTAAAACAATGTTGTGGCTTTATTGCAACACATCCAGAGCATAATAATAACAATCATTATGATTTATTAGCATTGCATCATATTTGCTAATATTTCCCCTGAGGCATGCGCAGTTATAGATCTGCATTTTCAGATTAACCCCAGGACATTCCAAGATATTACAAAGAATCACCTGCAAAAATAAATACATAAATTTACACTATTTTCTGGGACAGGTTTCAAACTCAGACACTGCGTATTATATCTGTTTGCTTTCTCTTTAAATAGACAATGATGGAAATAGCCAACTCATGGAGGAGTCAGCTAGGGTCTCACAAACAGGGCACAGTACAGGAGAGTTGAATCTGAGAGAAGACAAGGAAGAATAAACACATGAAAATAACAAATGGTGAAATGAACTGCTAGATCTGCTTTATTCTTTATGTTTTCTCAAAATAGCCAACAGAAGCCATGTTGGCAAAGCACATTTAATATTTCGTCCATTTTTGTTCAGAGTCTCTACTTCCATTTGTTGAATTAAGTAGCCCTTCAGCTCTACTAAGCCCCTCAGCTCTATTGAGCTGCACAGTTGAATCATGAAAATGAGGCTGGCAAAAAAACAAAGTTCATTTCTGCCTCCTGGGAGACCGATGAACTTGTTACAGACTTGTTCAGCATGCAGACCTACCATAAGATGTGCCACGATGAAAAAGTGGGTGAGAATGGACAGTATCACAAACTGTATTATTGTCTGTAGCCTATATCTACCAATAATGACAAACTCTACTGCATCCAAACATTTGGCTCATGGGTGGCTGTTCTGAAAAGCAGAGAATACTGGTTAGATGTGACAGTAACAGTCCCTGGACAGAAAATCCTTGTAATACTTTACCACAGAACAGCATACTCTTTTGTGCACCAGTTACCTGGAACTGGTCCCTTGCTACTTCTAGCTCGTCTGAACTTTTTTACTGTAGAAAGACAGCCTGATGGGTGGCATATTTGACTGAGAGCATAGACCTAGGGCACACATCACTGTACCTTTTGCCATCATATTGCAGTGAGCAGAGCTTTGCATTGCTGTACTTCCATGAGATGCGCCCAGAGATTAAATACAAACACCAGAACCAAAAGTAGCTCTCCCATGCCTCCTGCTATCCAACCCATGTTCAAATAGCAAGATAGAAACTCCCACAGGGGAAGATGGTTTCAATTTCCTTTGCAAGAACTAATGATTACTTTGGCCACAGTACCCTGAGAGAGGCAAGGAGCCAGAGGCACTTGTATGGGAAAAGGTGCAGGATGTTACACGTGTCGAGGGGTTAGGAATGCAATATACAGTATTTCTTGCTGACTCTGCTGCCTAAATGCTTCAGTGCTGGGAAGATGTAGGTGTATTGAGATCACTCTACTAAAAACATTATTTCCTTTTCAGGAGGAATTTATCCCACTCTAACCGCTGCTGACTCGCACTCTCGAGTCACGGTGGACTGTGGCTCTGTGCATGAATTCCACGTCTGCACAGCAGCTCCTCACTGAAAATTTTTACCTTTTGAATACAATGAAAATGTACTCCTCACTCCTCTGGAAATATGACAGGAGCACAAAGAGGAACACCCAGTATCCAGAGTCCTAAGCCCTATTTCAGGTATCTGATGACTCAGCCAGGACTGGACCTGCCAGTGAGCTTTGGAAGAGTGTACAGCTACTTCAGTCACTGCCTCTCTGCAAATGTCATCATAAGGTCACATCTACTGACTCAGACTGAAAGAGGAATCAGTCAGAGGGAACATGAAATGCTAATATGAAGCGAACTCATCTCAAAGACTATATAAACAAATACATGTTCCTTGGAGGAAGAGGGAAAGCATAAACATTATCTTTTAGTTACTCTTTGCTGTGCAAATAGCATTTATCATATGTTATAATGTATGTTAGTAAGAACTCTAATGGAATACTTATCTTTTTCTTGACCTTTACAAAATCCACAAAATTCAGAGATGTTGCTGCAGCCCCATTGCTCCAAGACTCTTGTAGATGAGCAGGAGGATGAGAATGGCAATGAGAGACACAAGCTGCTGTGAATAGTAAAGGTTCTGGGAAAAAAAGTGACTCCAAAACAGCAATGAGGGTAAAATGAAATTGATTTTGATAGGAAACACTCTTTCAACAGTTTTTTTAAGGCAATCTTTGGAAATACACAATGGATATTTACACCTCCATTCAATTTCTTAGGTTAGTTTATGAACAAAGTCTCTTGATGTTTTTTTTTGTACTATCTAATTCCTTTAAGACTTCTGTTTCAAACTATTGTGCCTGCTGTGTGCAATCAGACCTGTTGCATTGCTCTCATTCCCTTCCCTCAACGACAAGAGAACAACAGGTTTTCTAGATATGGATCTGCCTTTGCTTTACTATTGCCACAGATAAACAGCCACTTAAAAGCAAAAGATGTCCCTAATTAAATTCAACAGTTTGCAGAATTGTCAATAACTTTGAGCACAATGAACTTCAATGAACTATGAGTTTCTATATGCTTGGACTTAAACTGAGGCTAGCAGGTGCCACCAGAGTGGCAAGGCAGAACAGGACCCAGAGAGAAGTGAGTGGTTTTGGTTCCTGAACGACAGGCTCCAGCCTGGCTTAGGATGAATGCTGAAGGTGGCTGCTGGCCGCCCCTACTGGAAGTAGGTTCCCTGCCATGGGGCTCAGAAACTCAAAGCAGGGTGACAAGCTGTCACCCACATTGGCTTCTGCCATGTTACACTGGCCTGCTCACCCCATGAGATGGCCAGGCCTGCGACATCATCAGCTGCTGTGCAGACAAGAAAGAAACAGAATCGACTGTGCTAAAGGACACTGCACCATCATCTGCAT